AAATAAGTTTTAATCGATTAAAACGCTGTGCAGAAATTGTTTTAATCGATTGAAACGAGATTTAATCGATTAAAATAGTTCTGATCAGTCATAATCGCATTCTGATCGATCATAATTGAAACGATATAATAGCGGTTCCAGGTTAACCGCTATCTAAGTGAGCTTTTAAGAGCGGTTCTGTGTAACCGCTATCTAAAATGTATCTCGCTTGAGCGACACTATTCTCGCTCGAACGAAACGCCCCTGCACAAAATTAGCATTCTCGGGTTGTATTTCGCTTGAGCGACACTACTCGCTCGAGCGAAATATCGATTCTGATCGATCATAACTTGAAATGATCGATCATAATTAGAGGATATAATAGCGGTTTCCTTATAACCGCTATCTAAAGTGTATATTAGATAGCGGTTAAGGCTTATACGATATCTGAAGTGTATTTCGCTTGAGCGAGAGCGAAATCCGATTCTGATCGATTATATTTTCAAAATGATCGATCATATTTGATAATTTTTTCAAATAATTAATTATAATCGATTAGTTTTCTAAATTATTGATTAGAATTGATTAGTTTTTCAAATAATAGATTAGAATTGATTAATTTCAAAATATATACTAAAAAATTATAATTAAAAATATAAATTAGTTAAGAATATTGACTATTGTAAAGATAAAGTAGAACATGGGAGGAGATGAGGATGATAATATAATGATAGAACTTACAAAAATGTAGAATTGAGAAGTTTGAAACAAATAAAATTAAGAAAATAGATATTTAATTACACTTTTAATAAATTTAAGATAATACTAGTTTTGATTTTTATTTTTAAATATTTATTTTAATTATTTAAAACAGAGAAACTATAATTTTAGTTTCTAGCTACTGAATTTAAAGAATTAAATTTATTATTATTTAATCTTTTAATTTGTAGAATTAAACTCAATATAATTAATTGTTAAAAATACTTTGTAGAGGCATTTGAGAAAGCTTTTGTCAAAATACTTTGTTTTTAATTGTTAAAAACATTTGTAGAGGCATTTTGCAAAATCTTTTAAGTGAAGAAACCTCATGCAACGTAAATCTTTTAATTTTAGTATTAAAAGTTTAAATTATATTTTATTAAATTAAACTAGTTACAATATATTTTTTTACTTTGAGAATGAACAATATAATTAAACTCAAAATTGACAATATTATAATACATTTTTGAACTCTTTTGGATTAATTTTTTTTCCTAATTTTTGATAAATTTAATTTTAATATTTAAAAGTATTTAACATTTTGAATTCTGAAAGGTTTTCTCTAATAGCAAATTTAAAAACATAATATTCAAAAACATAATTGAGAAGATATGATAGCGGTTCCACGTTAACCGCTATCTAAAGTATAATTTAGATAGCGATTAATGGTTAACTGCTATTAGAAGTGCACTTTTAAGAGCGGTTCTTGTGGAACCGCTATCTAAAATGAATTTCGCTTGAGCGACAATATTCTCGCTCGAGCGAAACACCCCCTGCACAAAATTAGCATTCTCGGGTTGTATTTCGCTTGAGCGACACTACTCTCGCTCGAGCGAAATACGTTTCTGATCGATCATAACTTGAAATGATCGATCATAATTAGAGGATATAATAGCGGTTCCCTCATAACCGCTATCTAAAGTGTATATTAGATAGCGGTTAAGGCTTATACGATATCTGAAGTGTATTTCGCTGAGCGAGACTACTCTCGCTCAAGTGAAATCCGATTCTGATCGATTATATTTTCAAAATGATCGATCATATTTGATAATTTTTTCAAATAATTAATTATAATCGATTAGTTTTCTAAATTATTGATTAGTTTTTCAAATAATAGATTAGAATTGATTAATTTCTGAAATATATACTAAAAAATTATAATTAAAACTATAAATTAGTTAAGAATATTGACTATTGTAAAGATAAAGTAGAACATGGGAGGAGATGAGAATGATAATATAATGATAGAACTTACAAAAATGTAGAATTGAGAAGTTTGAAACAAATAAAATTAAGAAAATAGATATTTAATTACACTTTTAATAAATTTAAGATAATACTAGTTTTGATTTATATTTTTAAATATTTATTTTAATTATTTAAAACAGAGAAACTATAATTTTAGTTTCTAACTACTGAATTTAAAGAATTAAATTTATTATTATTTAATCTTTTAATTTTAGTATTAAATTAAAATAATTACAATATATTTTTCTACTTTGAGAATGAACAATATAATTAAACTCAAAATTGACAATATTATAATATATTTTTGAACTCTTTTGGATTAATTTTTTTTCCTAATTTTTGATAAAGTTAATTTTAATATTTAAAAGTATTTAACATTTTGATATAATGAGCATGATAATATAATGATAGAATTTACAAAAATGTAGAATTGAGAAGTTTAAAATTTTTTTTAAAGAAAATAGAGATTTAATTATACTTTTAATAAATTTAAGATAATACTAGTTTTTAAACCTTTTTCTAATATTTGTTTTTAAAAATATAATATCATTTTTAATATTTTATAGATTTTATATTTATATATTTATAAAAGTAATTGGATTAAATTTATTATCCTCTCATATATTATTATACATTTAGCGTAATTTTAGTTTATTTAAAAATTAGAATACAAATATACTATACCAATATACCATTATATTATTTTCATTGTATATAAATTACAAAATTAATAATTTGTATACTATACTATACTAACATATTATTTGTATACTATACTAATAGTATAATATACTATATTATAATATTATTTGTATACAAAACTAATATCTTTATATATAAATATATAAATATGGAAACATATAAATATATGTAAAAATATAAACATATAAATATATATAAATATGTAAAGATATAAACATATATCTTTAATATTTTGTAAATGTAAATATAATTTATATATATTTTTAAATCTTTTTCTAATATTTATTTTTAAAAATATAATATTATTTTTAAAATTTAATATTTTTTTTCAAATATATAAATATATAAAGATATAAATGTATAAGGATATATATAAATATATAAATATATCAATATATAAATATATCAAAATATAAAAATATAAAAATATAAATATATAAATATATAAATATATAAATATATTAATATATAAATATATCAATATATAAATATATAAATATATAAATATATATATATATATATATATATACAAATATATCAATATATCAATATTATCCCCTCATATATTAATATACATTATGCTATATAAATATATCAATATATAAATATATCAATATTTAAATATATATTAAAATATATAAATATATTTTTATTTATAGATTTTATATTTATATATTTATACGGATATACATTTATTTGTATATAAATATAATTTATTTGTAAGTTATTATTAAAAAATCCTAGTAGCTCGATGGTTGGAGTTTCAACCTCCAACTCTAAGGTACTAGGTTGAATCCTGACAATGACAATAAACCACCTAATAATAAGTTAAACTAAATAAATATAAATAAAAACTTAAATAAGCAAAATATCTTATAATTAAGAGATAGGGAAAATAAATAATAGATATAATAAAAATAATTAAATTTGTTATTGATTAACTTTTTCATTGATTTAGTGACCGATTCCAGGTTGGTCACTATTTTGAGTCACTATTTTAATTAGTAACCGATTTTGCACATTTAGTGACCGAATTTTCGGTCACTATTTGGTGTTTTTCTTGTAGTGTTCAATATTGATTGAACCATATGAAGAACAATTTGATTCTTCCTCTCAGCCACACTATTTTGTTATAGTGAGTACAGAGTTGTCAAAAATCTCCTTATACCTTCATCTTCACAATATTTCGTGAAAGTTTTTTATATAAACTCTCCACCTCTATAAAATCGGATTGACCTGATCTGTCTCCTAATTGTCTTTTCCACCATTACTAAACTTTTTGAACACCTCAAATTTCTCTATCATAAAATATACTCATGTCTTTTTAGAAAAATCATTAACAAAAGTCATAAAATACATTCAGGGGTAATTTGCCCACACGGATCAATATGAATCATTGTACTCAACATTTTTTTTGAAATAGGGTCCTTACCTGTTTATCGAGCACACATTCTTTGCAAAATCTCCCCTCATACTCTTTTTTGACAATTTGGCTAGACCACTAAAATTCAAGTGATCAAATCGATGATGCCACATTCACACTGTGTTCTCTATGTTAAGTTTCAAACTCCTGTCCCAAATATATGTTTCTGAATGACAGCTTATATATTCTATTTTTTTTCATCTCAACTTAGGTGATCAAGCACTCGAACTTATTGTAGTGTTCGATCTTTCATAAATACTGATACTGAATATCCTTTTTTTATCAGTTGTCTTATACTCAAAATGTTACTTTTGAAGATAGAAGCATAATGCACATCGGATCGATCCGACTAGATTATTTCTCTATAAATAATAGATTGTACATTGATCTTTTATTAAGACCTTTAAAATATCTCTAAATAATACATTACTAATGATAGATTTTGACTATTGATCTTAAGAGGTCAAATAATATATTATTAATAAATAATAAATATATAAAAATATAAAAAAACAAGTGGTAAAATTTGTAAATATATAAAAATGTATATTTAATAATATAAAAATATTTTCATGCATGATTAGTTGCATTTGTCTCTAGCTACCGAATTCAAGTTATAATATGCTACCGTAACCCTCATTCAACACTAAATATTAATTTTATCTCACATGTTCACTCTAGAATTTATATTTAATATAATAATAAAAAAAAACATATAAATTTAATGGGCTGTCAAAAAATATCTGTCTTTTTGCTATGTAGATGACGGTGGACACTTATCCGTGCTGTTGATGTGTGTGTGTGCGCGCTACATTTATAGACGTTGAGCAGAGGCTTGTCTGTCCATTATCTCTTTCCCACGTCTTCACAGAAGAAAAGAAAAGCGAAGATGAGCACCATTGCAGAGAGAAAGCCTCACGCTGTGTTTACTCCATATCCAGCACAAGGCCATGTGAACCCCTTGTTAAAACTAGCCAAGCTGCTTCACGTCAGAGGCTTTTACATAACCTTTGTCCACACACATTACAACTACAAACGCTTGCTCAAATCAAGGGGTCCCAATGCCCTTCATGGCCTGCCAGATTTTCGCTTTGAGACCATCCCAGATGGACTTCCTCCCTCGGATGATGATGATGTTACTCAGCACATACCCTCTCTTTGTGACGCTATCCGAAACAACTTCCTCCAACCCTTTTGCGACCTTCTTCATACTCTTAGCCGTTCTGCCTCTGAGGGTCTCATTCCGCCAGTTACTTGCTTAGTTTCTGACGGTTGTTGCCTTCCCTTTATTTCACAAGCTGCTCAACAATTTGCACTCCCTAACGTTACCTGTTGGCCCGCTAGTGCCTGTTCATTATTGTCTATCTTGAACTATCCCACGCTGGTCGAGAAAGGTGTCATACCACTCAAAGGTTGGTACTGTTCCTTCTTCCTAAACTTTGGGCTCTCTTTAGATAAACTTATCTATAATTTATAAACACGTGTAGGGGAAAAAGAACAAAAAGTTAAAAATGAATTGAATGTTTTTAGTCAAATAAAATCAATTTATACAACCCGTTTTCGGAAAAGTTATATATTCATATACATGGAACTTTAAGAAATGGCTGATGTGTTTATGATACGCAGATGAGAGTTATCTGACAAATGGGTATTTGGACTCCAAAGTGGACTGGATTCCTGGAATGCAGAACTTTCGGCTGAAGGACATGGTTGACTTCATAAGGACAACGGATCCAAATGATACTATGTTGCAGTTTTTCATTGAAGTTGCAAATAGAATTGAAAGAAACTCTCCAATTCTTTTGAACACTTTTGAGAGGCTTGAGGGTGATGTACTGAAGGCTCTATCCTCTATGTTCCCTTCTCTTTATACCATTGGTCCTTTCCCTTTACTTTTGAATCAAAGTCCGCAAAACCACTTGGGATCTTTAGGTTCCAATCTTTGGAAGGAAAACACGGAGTGTCTTGATTGGCTAGAATCCAAGGAATCTGGATCCGTTGTTTATGTGAACTATGGCAGCACCACTGTTATGTCTGCAGAACAACTGTTGGAGTTTGCTTGGGGTTTGGCCAACAGCAAGAAACCGTTTCTGTGGATCATAAGGCCTGACCTTGTGAGTGGAGGATCTGTGATTTTGTCATCAGAGTTTGTGAATGAAACAAGAGACAGAAGTCTTATAGCAAGCTGGTGTCCACAGGAGGAAGTGTTGAACCATCGTTCAGTTGGTGGTTTCTTGACTCATTGTGGATGGAACTCAACCACTGAAAGTATTTGTGCTGGAGTGCCAATGTTGTGTTGGCCATTTTTTGCAGATCAGCCAACAAACTGTAGATATATGTGCAATGAGTGGGAGATTGGGATTGAGATTGATAATAATGTGAAGAGAGAGGAGGTGGAGAAGCTGGTGAATGAATTGATGGTGGGAGAAAAGGGAGAGAAGATGAAAGAAAAGATCATGGAGTTGAAGAACAAGGCAGAGGAGGTTACCAGGCCCGGTGGCTGTTCAAGCCTGAACTTGGACAAGTTTATTAAGAAGTTGCTCAAACAATATTAGATTGTGTTTTCTGTCATATATTGTACGTGCTGTAAGTGTACTTTAGGTTCCTATAAGTGTGGTATGGTGTGTGACCCCGTTGTCTACCGTTTCTTTCACAACTTTGCTTTTCCCTGTCGCTAGGGACAAATAAAAAACCATTGTCTTCCAATAATTGCTACTACTAGTACATGCTATCATAAGGTTTAATTAATTTAGTTACAATTTATTCTATTCAAAATTTGCGTTTCGGTAGCTATTTTACCAATCTTACATGTATATTATACAAATTCAGCGACTTCCTAAGAAACTGATGCAAATTTTTTGCTATAAAAAAAACTAAGAAACTTTAATCTTTAAAAACTAATTTATTAGCAATTAAGAAAATTATAAGGATATACTAATTATAGAGAGCATAATTAGTAGTTTATTCAAACTAAATTAATTAATTAGTCAAATCTTTTGGAATAATTAAAGCTTTTTCTGTGTGGATTAATTGTTTTGAAAAGAGGGTATGCTTATACATATTCAGAGTGTTATTTGATCTCAATAATTTCTATGTTGGTCGAACTGATTGTTAAATATATGTATGATAGGTAATGTATAATGAGAAAAAAAAAAAAAAATTATAAATGCTAATGAAGATGTTAGGTGTTCCACTTTCCGGTAGTATTAAATGATTTGATGGCAGATACGGGTTGAAGTAAAGTAGTGTACACGGAAGAAACTCTGTTATGTTACATAACTAGTCTCATAACCCGCGCAACGCAAGGGATTTTTTAAATTTTTATATTAATAATAAATAATATTTTAATATTAATAATTTAAATTAATAAGAAAAAAAATCTTATAAACGATTTTCAAATTGTAAAATTTTTAAATAAAAAATTATATTGAAAAAGATTGTATAAAATAAAAAAAACCTTACAATAAATACAAAATATAATAATAGTATGACTAAGATACTAAAATAAGTTAATGGTTATAAATTGCAGTAATCATTTTATTTGATATTTTGAAAAAGGTAAAAAGTAAAGTCAACTTTAAACATTGTACTTCAATTTATGATTCACAAATAAGGTAATTCTGTGTGAACATAAATTTCTCATAAGATATAATTTATTTTCTTTATGCATCTATTACAATAGGTATAATATTTTTTTCTTTTCTAGGCACTCTGTTATTTGACACTATGTCTTTTTTATTCTAGAGCAGTTGACTAAATTTTGTGAAAAACAGCAAAATGAAAAGGTAATTGAGTATTGAAATAGATAACATGAGAGTTTGATACTAAAATTATTATGTTGCAGATGGTTGATAAAATATAAATTGTCTCGTAAACATTATTCATATTCATCTATAACATGTATATGTTTATTGTTTTTTTGAGACACTCAATGTGTAACTTTTCTTCTATTAATTTGTATACAAAATTACTGCAACATAGCTTCATAATTTTCCAGTAATGTCACCTACCCTAATTTGACAATGTATTTCAATTTTGTTTGTTTTGACATATTTAAGGAAAATTTCAACCAAAAACATCTATATCTCATATAGTAGCAATTATGACAATAATTTTATGTATATAATATTATATGTTCTAGTCATGACAAAAGAGGACATAGATTGGAAGGAGAGAGTATATATTTATTTTGTGTAAAAGTAGGAAATTTAACATTTAAGATTCAAAATACAAGAAACAATTATCAATCAAAAGGTCATGATAGACATATTACAAAAGAAAATCCTAAAACAATAACTTAACTATATTACAAAGAGAATGTCTATTACATAAGTCATATTATCATATCCAAAACCAAATTTTGACTATATATTTTGGATTGTTGCCAGCTTGAAATATCACTTTATGACCTTCCTTCAATCCATTTTCATGACAAAATTGCTTCCATCATTTTCCAATTTTGGAGGATTTTTTTGGTTGGTCTCTAATCAGAAGTTTACAACAAACATGATTTACTTCTCCACAGAGTAATAAAGTTTTGAATCTACCTCTACGAACATAAGTTGCAAAATCCAGTGACAAATCCTGTTAGACAAATGACATCTAGAGGGAGTGAATAGATGCACAAATTAAAATAGATGCCAAATTAAAAATTTATTTTAAGATGTCCAATATTTATTAATTCAATTTTAATTATCAAATTGAACAAAGATAAAGCAGATGCGATTTGAGAGATAAAATATCAACAAGATAGAGATAAAAAATAAGGGGTGTAAGGAGAATAATGCAGTGAAAAAAAGATAAGGGAAAGAGAAGAACACACAGTGATTTATATTGGTTCGGGTATAGTCAATCCTACATCTAGTTCCCAATCAACTCTTAACACAAGAGTGACCCCAATTCACTATCTTTTAAATTCAATTCACAAATTACAATCAACTCAGCAAAAAACAAACTAATTCAAAAGACAATCATCTCCTTAGAAACTCACTAAGGATGAACACCTCCCTAGAATCCTACTAAGGATGAACACTTCCTCTTAATAAATCAAAGGATGAACACACCTCCTTAGAATCTCACTAAGGATGAACACCTCCCTAGAATTCCACTAGGGATAAACACCCATCTGAACAAATTAAAGGATGAAAACACTTCTCTGAACAAATCAAAGGATGAACAGTTTTCACACAGGAAACCCTAAAAAAATATAACAGAATGACAGTGACTACTTAAACCCTAAACAGAGAATTTAACAAACAACCACTTAAGCCCACAAAGAATGAAAGTAATAAAATAAGAACAGTCACACCTGGGTAATAGAGACAACAAATTGTAGAAGCTTGTAGAATGTCAACCTCCAAGAACAAGTGTAATTAACAATGAAAGCACAGTAGACAATGAAGAAGAGGGTTTTCTCAAAACATGTAAAATATCATTGTTGTCTTGCTCATAATTCTTTTCTTAAGACTGATTGAATGTAAATTGTATTTTCGAATTTTGTAATTGTGTATTTTTTATTTTCCATCAAAACTTAATTAAATAGAAAAATAACATCAGAAAATGGTTATTGGACATTAATATTTTCGTGGATACAAATTAGGATATATTCAAAAATATTTATTCTTCAAAACATATATATTTTTGAATTTCGAACTGTCATAATTGATTATGTTACCAGTATAATCAATTATAATAGAGAAAATCATTTTTCCATTTTTGATGCATTATAATTAATTATGATAGTGAAAAATGTCATGTTACGAAATGTTATCACACTTGTGCTTTGGAGGCTTATGCATAATACCACTTCATCAACTTGTACCTCCATATCCAATATTCTAAGACTTTATCTAGTCTTCAGGAATCATCTTGGACTTGCTTGAATCTTGAATAGAATCTTTATCAAATCATATCTTGGGCTTGCTTGAGTCTTGAATGTTGTTTACTTATCATCATCAAAATCATCTCTTGGAAATGTAGGGACATGTTTCACATTGTTATCAATCTCCCCCTCATTGCTTTCAAATCCTATTAAAGATTGAATGCTAAAATTAAAATATCACTATAATGATAAAAAGTAGTTAAACAATTAATATAAGGATGAGAATAAGAATAGAAATCAAACCAAATGATTTCCTTTGCTTTGGGATTTAGTCAGTGTTACTGGAAAATAAACTAAACCTTCCCACCATGCAAGGTGATCCTTAAAGTTCTTCACAGTTGAAAATGTAGAAGTACCTTTAAATATTGTTATTCGAAAAATAGAATGTCCAGCATATTAAAACAAAATGAAATGGTTCTCAGTCATGTTGTAGAACCTTCTTAACTCAACCCATCCTTGTGTGAGTAAAGGCCTATCTAAGTCCATGTTGTAAGTGACAACATTTAAGTTACCCTTGTCATCATGCAAACTCCATTGATCACCAAGCTCATGTGCAAACGTTATAGCAAACTCACGATCAACATATCCAAAATCCTACACGAAAAATTAAAAAAATTATGATTTTACTTATATAGAAATAAATAGATGGAACAATAGTGTACAAAAGAAATTTATAGGAAGGCATTCCATTACTTAAAAAACTATAAAAAGATATAATAAGAATACTTTCCAATACTTAAATTAAGTGGGCATTCCATTACTCCATAAAATCATTGGGCCTAAAAAAATATAGAACCGTGTTGTAGAAAAAATATGTGTAAATATGAGTAAATAAATGCAAAGGATGAATCTTTGAAAATATCAATGGTAATGAATGTTACCATCAGAGTTGTATGTTTCATGTAAATCATAATTGTAAATAATGAAAAAAATAATAAAAGAAATAAACAAACGATGGAATGAGATTAGATGAGTAGATTTGTCACAAAGTAAAGTTGAATGATGGGACGAGATGAAAAAAAAAGAATGATGATTTCTCTTCCTTCGATGTATGTTTCCAACATGTATTGGAAATAGAGTAATGACTTATCTTTTCACCTGCTTATCAAAAGAATCAAGACAATAATAATAAATAAATGCAGGTAAATGCTTGAATACAATTTGAAGATTTAAAAGATAAAAATACTTACAAATAGTTACATTAAGTGGACTTCCATTGCTCCATCAAATGATTGAGCCTCAGAAAATGTAAAAGAGGCTTGTATAAAAAGATATAATATATAAGAATACTTCCCTATACTTAAACTAAGTGGGCATTCCATTACTCCATGAAATCATTAGGCCTCAAAAAATATAGAATCATGCTATAGAAAAAAATGTGTAAATATGAGTAAATAAATGCAAATGATGTTTGAGGAAAGACATACAACTTATCCAATCTCACCAAACTAACATAAATATTATAAAAGAGTTCATTATATTGATAATATAACACATCATAATGCATTTCATCAAAACTACCACAACAAAATATTCAAAAAATTTTGCAGATCATAATGCAGTTCATCAAAAGTACCACAACAAAATATTCATATTGATAATACAACACATCATAATGCAGTTCATCAGATCTATTAAGTTACTTAATTTTTCTCCGCCTTGATATTTTTCTTCAATATTTTTAAAGGTATATCTTCATCTTTTGTGTCCAAGTTTGTTATATTGTGTCGTTTAAGATTTTTCATGACCAAGTCATTGCGAAGACCAATATCAGATGCTAAAACAGCTGGTTCAGAGTCAACATCATTAGATGCATTGGAGAATTTTGTTAACAAACCCTGTAAAATAAGTTGACATACTTTAGACTAATTTGTTTTAATGTTATATTTGTAATAATGAAGAGAAATCCATTAAATACCTCGGCAACAATAATAGAAGTATTTTCAAAATTTGATTGTTTGCTATTGAATATTGCATTTTCTGAATTGACATCCTATTAAACTTCATTTGGTCAGTATAAAAGTAGAATATCATGAATAACAAATTTTCTTGACTCTGAAAGTTTGTTCAAACCTAAAACTCTGACCACATGTAGACTTAACTTTAGAGAGAAACGTCGTATTTACCAATTATTCAATCTCATTCGGGAAATTCCCATTAACAACATTCTATAAACAAACCATATTAAACATTCAATGCAACGTAATAAATAGATAAATAATACATAATATATTTAATAAATATAGAAAAAAACCTTATCCTGCCAATCAAACATATCTACGCATGATTTTTTTTAACAATGTAGCAGCATCCCTATAAAAAATTACAAAGGTTGTTGAGTCTGTTTTGTCAATGACCCTCACCTTAAGCTTGTACCTGAAATTCATAAATAATAAAATATTATTTGAAAGAATTTCATAAAAAAGTTGAAATATGATGCCAAAAAAATAGCATTGAATAGTACCTAGGCATGACTTTCATGACATGTTTATTATATTTTTCACAGCAAAACATTTTGGAATCTGGATATACTGCTTTGTTGCACACACAAGTTGTATACCACCAATCATCATCATGAATTATATGTTTTATAGTGCCTAGAATTATAAAACTTGTTTCCTGTAAAAACAAATATGAACAATAGTAATTAAAACTAAAATGAATAGACAATAACCACAATGAACATCACTAATTAATAGGAATGGAGTAATGAATAGACTAATAATGACTATGATACTTATTTACACTCTTTTAAACCCTCTATTGTATTTCTAGGAGTAGATTGAAGGAATTCATCTTCACTGGTTTGTTTAGAAGAGTCAGAAAGCTGGTTTAAACCCTGGGCAAGTGACTCCATACTCTGAGACATCCTGCATTCAACAAAACATGAAAATTTAAATGGACATTTTAGTTGGTTAACACTTAAAGTGAAATTTATTATTTACACCTTTTTTGAAGTTGTCTAGCTTCTTCGTACTGAGCATTGAAAATAATCCTTGTACAATCCATACAATTTTGCACATATACTTTATCTGTAAATAACATATAAAGATATAAAACTATAATATAATGTCAATAATTGTAACTAACTGTAACTAATTATAACACCAATATATTAGTTACCGTGGAAGATTTTGACTTTGCCAAATTGTATGATTATGACAGGATTTTGGATATCTCCAGATGCAAGGAATGCATTTAGGTCATTAACATATTGGCCAAACAACGTACACTCAACTCTAAAACTAAGTTTGAAAAAAAAAACACATGTTAAAAGAAAACTAAACTATACTATAGTAAATCCTTAAGCATTGATAAATGGGTTAAAGAACTTTACCCATGAGCCTCTAAGCATATCATGTTTAGTTTTGTTTTTTTTTTCATTCTTGTCTAAAATGAAATCACAAATGAGTGTTATTTAAAATGTATTGAAGGCATGGTAGTGCAACTGACCTTCATATCTTGCATGACAAAACTCATGGAAAATGACAATTTGTGTTTAGTGAAATATGAGACAAACCACAGGCGTATGACCTTTGCCAATATATTCCAATTTTCTTTTTCAGCATTGAGTTCTAAAATAGAGTGAAACTTTTTTTTTACAAATTGGACATATTACAAACTAAATGTAAAAAACAGATAGAGAATAACCCACTCAACTAGAAATATTATCATCACAGATGTATATTTATAAACATGATGGAAAGAGGGAAATGTTCCTTGTATTCTAGAATTTGAAATTTGAAATGTTGACAATATCAAAGTAATCTGAATTCAAACTTTTGTAAAGTGAAGATATTACCATTTTCATGTATTTAACTTCCTGTATTTCCGTCATGATCTAAAAAACTACAATTTTTATCCCTCCAGCTTGGGCTAACCCTTAAGTAAATGCAAATCAGTAAGCAAAATTACATAAAACTATACTGAAACAGGTATAAACAAATCTACAACCCTAATGACGGTCAAAGAAGACAATATTGAACCCTAATCATGATAAAAAAACAAACTTTTTTAGGGAAAAAATTTTCAACTTCGCTATTGAAGGTAAACAGCATAAAGATTGAAAATCAGTAATTTTTAAATTAAAAAACCTTAGATCAAAGCTAATCAGTAACATTTTTTCCGAAATCAGTAACTTTTAAATTCAAAAACTTTAAATCAAAGCAAATCAATAACTTTTTTTACAAAATCGATAACGTTTAAATGCAAAACCTTAGATCAAAGCAAATCAGTAACCTTTTTTACGAAATCAGTAACCTTTGAATAAAAAAAGTTTAGATTTAAAAGTAAATCGATAAGAAAGATAACATAATCTATCTGAAAGTGCATATGAAAATACTACTTGAGGAAAGACGTGCAACAAAAGAGTTTTGATGCTTCTTTTGAGATACCGATCTTGTATAAAAAAGAAAAGATTACAGTGAAAAAGACGTGCAGAGCGAAGAGAATGTGTAGAACAAAGAAGGCTTACAGTAGACTGATTGGAGCATATGAGAGATTGAGAGAGTATTTGGGCTGAGAAGGATTATTTGGACTTGCAGTATTATTGTAGCCTAAAGAAGTGGTTTGTTTTTTTCTACAAATAGGTATTGTTTTGTACAAATTTTGTTTTTGACTTTTTATGAAAAAAAGTGTGGTGGTGGTACATATAGAAAGTTGCTATTTATTTTAGCTAGATTTGTATATAGTTATAGATTGTCTGTAAGAACTCAACCAATGTAAAAAAAATGGTTCTGCGGATCAAAACAACGGATAACATATTAACCAAATCGATGCAATTCAATTCTCAAGAGTGTTGTTTAGAAATGGACAAAATGGAATAAGAAAAATTTAATAAGAAAAATTTAATATCTCAATATTTTAGGTTAATATCGTTGTCGTCTTGCACTTCAAGTACTGACCCAAATGTCGCCCACGAAATCAAACAGTTTACGCAAGATCCGATGGCCCTACACAAAATCCTTTTTGTAAGTACTGTTTAACTTTGGCATATGAAATGCTAAATGTCTTTATGCGTGTTCTGATAACTATTTGTGCATGATTGCTATTTATAATTTGGTTTACTTTATTGTCTCTAACTTAGCTTCACAAAAGACAAATGCTGTGCATGTCATTAACATTAGGTCCGGCTCCATTTGTCAATGATCCAAAACTAACATGTTCTTCGGATCTAACGCCCGATTCAACAATATAATAATAATAATAATAATAATATAGATTCTTCGTCACTGATTGAAAATAATGAATCCTATAAAACATGGTCTCGCGGACACTTAAATGGCAACTTCTGTTTGAACTAGATTTCAATTTCGTTTCAAACACTGAGGCATCAAAAGATCAAGCATGAGTTACTTTGCAGAGAGAAAGCCACACGCTGTGTTCACTCCATATCCTCTTCAAGGCCATATCAACCCCTTGTTCAAACTCGCGAAGCTGCTTCATCTCAGAGGCTTTCACGTAACCTTTGTCCACACTGAATACAACCACAAACGCTACCTCAAATCAAGGGGTCCTAATGCCCTCGATGGCCTACCAGATTTTCGCTTTGAAGCCATCCCAGATGGCCTTCCTCCCTTGGATGATGATGATGACGGTGATGTTAGTCAACACATACCCTCCCTTTGTGACTCTATCAGGAAAAACTTCCTCCAACCCTTTCGCCAACTTCTTGCTAGACTTAACCACTCTGCCACTGCTGGTCTCAACCCCCCAGTTACCTGCTTGGTTTCTGACTGTTTCGTGACTTTTCCTATACAAGCAGCTGAAGAACTTGGACTTCCTATCCTTCTCCTTTCCCCACTCAGTGCTGGTGCGTGTTGGTCTTTTATGCACTATCGTACTCTGGTCGAAAGAGGAATCGTACCCCTCAAAGGTATGGAGTTATGTTCTTGCATCCGTAGGTAGGATAAAAATTGTTTTAACTTCTTCAAGATTTACTCAGAAATAATCTTAGGACCCGTATTTTGGAAACGATAATTTTAGTCCACGTAGTTTTGAAATGTGGTGAATTTTGTGACCGTGTATATCATTTTGACCGGACGAGGAATAATGTTTATCATATTTCGGAAAAAACAAAGACCAAGATTCTCTTTTTAGAATACAGGGATTAAAACCTTTTTCTTTTTTAGAATCTTAAGGAACTTAAAACAGTTCTTACGTTTTTGAACGTGCTACGAAGTATGTGTGTTGTTCATGTATGGATCTATGACAGCTATTGACTTTTGTGATTATTATGAAATGCAGATGAAAGTTATCTGACAAATGGATATTTGGACACCAAAGTAGACTGTATTCCAGGTTTGCCAGATTTTCGGCTGAAGGACTTGCCTGACTTTATGAGGACAACAGATCCAAATGATGTAATGTTGAACTTTTTCATTGAAGAAACTGATAAAATTTCCAGAGCCTCTGCGGTTGTTTTTAATACTTTTGATGAACTTGAGAGAGATGTAATCAATGCTCTCTCCTCTTCCTTTATATTCCGTTCTCTTTACACCATTGGTCCTTTCCCTTTACTTTTGAATCAAAGTCCGCAAAACCACTTGGGATCTTTAGGTTCCAGTCTTTGGAAGGAAAACACGGAGTGTCTTGATTGGCTTGAATCCAAGGAATCTGGATCCGTTGTTTATGTGAACTTTGGCAGCATCACTGTTATGTCTGCAGCACAAATATTGGAGTTTGCTTGGGGTTTGGCCAACAGCAGGAAACCGTTTTTGTGGATCATTAGGCCTGATCTTGTGAATGGAGGATCTGTGATTTTGTCATCAGAGTTTGTGAATGAAACAAGAGACAGAAGCCTTATCGCAAGCTGGTGTCCGCAGGAGGAAGTGTTGAACCATCGTTCAGTTGGTGGTTTCTTGACTCATTGTGGATGGAACTCAACCACTGAAAGTATCTGTGCTGGAGTGCCAATGGTGTGTTGGCCATTTTTTGCAGATCAGCCAACAAACTGTAGATATATGTGCAATGAGTGGGAGATTGGGATTGAGATTGATAAGAACGTGAAAAGAGAGGAGGTGGAGAAGGTGGTAAAAGAATTGATGGTTGGGGAGAAGGGAAAGGAGATGAGAGAAAAGACTGTGGAGTTGAAGAAGAAAGCAGAGGAGGTGACCAAACCAGGTGGTTCTTCATACATAAACTTGGACAAAGTAATTAAGGAGGTGTTGCTTAAGCAGACATTATTGGATTGAAGGGCTTTTCTCGTTAACTATGTTATACTGTAGTAATAATTGGGAGATGATTGTTTAAAAGTTTAAATATTAATAGATACTCAAAATAACACTATATAACAGTAAAAGACTCCCAAAATAACATCATATAAGAATATGTAGTATTATGTATGTAATATTATTTTGTATGGTCCAGTGGTTGTTTACACTATTAAATAATTATATTTAATAATATTCTGTTCCTTGTTCTTCCGAGATTGGATGTAATGTAATAGAATTCACGACAAATAATTATAAAATTTTAATTTATAATATTCTATATTAAATAATTATATTTAACATATTTTCATTAGAAAAAAAACATTTTTATTAAAAATATAATATCTTATATAAAAAAAAATCTTAACATAAGAAATCCGCCATGTTACATAATTTCAATAAATTATTTTCTTAAAAAAAACAATTTTTTAACTTAAAAAAAATAAAAAAAATGTTTTCTATGTGTAATTAATTTCTTTAAAAGTATTTTTTTAAAATTTATTTTATTTGTTTCTCCTCTCCTATTAAATACACCCACTCTTTTCTCCACTAATTATATATTATATGTTATATATATATTACTAATTTTTAAATATATAATAATAACTATTTTTTAAAATTATGATGTTTTTATATTTCTATCTAATAACATAGAAAGCGGTTATAATAGAAAATGTCTACAGATTATATAAAGAGATACATTATTATCATAATAATTATTGTTATTATAAAAAATTCTTAGCAGCCATTGTTAATGACATGATCTTTATCTAGGTTGATGGATGAATATAATCAATATAATTCTATTATAACATAATAACAAAAATATATTATAAAAATGATTATTACTACTATTATTATTAATTAATATTATGAAAAGCTCTTAGCAGCCCTCCTTAATGACCTAGTCCTTGTATAGGTTCATGCATGAAGAATCACCAAATCTTGTTTTTATCTCCCCCATCATGAAGTATCAATGTCCCCTTCATTTGAAAACTTATGTCAATGGTATTCATTTCTCATTCAAACATAAAAAATTAACACCATTTGACATTGAAATTTTCAGGTGAATTGTTGCAATCTATAAGTTATTTTAGTTTGTTTGGATTTCAATGTAAAAAATAAAATAAAAAAATAATTATGTAATATTGAAAGTATATTCCAACTTTAATATTAATATTTATCTTTTATGTAAAAAGATATAATTAAACATGTGCTTACCCACACCGAATTCTAGTGCACTGTGCCACTGACAAAGCTTGACTTTCTCTTTCGCCTTATAGGAGGTGCAGTTTTCTCTGTGGACGAGTAAACTTTATTCGCTGCCAATGGATATAAAGAAACCATATAATCAACTATTCATCGTTCTAATTCTTTGTCCACCTTGCAATTCATAGAAACAAACAAGAACTTAAGTAAAGCCAGAAGCATCTATGACTAAAAAAATTTACAAACACACGGTTAACATACTTAAAATATTTGTTTTTATTGATTAAAAAAATATAAAATAGAGTAAATAAATAATAATATAAAAATCTAAACTTGGACTTGTTTTAAACATTTCTACCTAACCCATTTATTTATTTATTTATTGGGTGTTTAGATTGCCTTCTGCATCAGAACCATATTCATCTGCACGAATCCCACCAAAATTGACATGGAAACACTGACCTGTTCAAGGAAAATGCTAGAAAGGACCAATCCTTATCCTACCCCATCTATTATCTATATATTATCTTAAGTATGAAGAAATGAGGTGAATCAATTCCCTTCCTTTATAAAGATATTAGCAATTATCTTCCTCTCCCATGTGCTATCATGTGAGAAACTTATCGGTGTGAGATTCATTGTGCTATATTTATTGAGGTGAGGCGGATTGTAGAGGCATATGCATTGCTTCATTTTCACTTTGGAAAGGAAAATCCAAGATGAGCTACATTGCTGAGACAAAGCCCCACGCTGTGTTGATTCCATTTCCACTTCAAGGCCATATCAACCCCTTGTTCAAACTAGCAAAGCTGCTTCATCTCAGAGGCTTTCACATAACTTTTGTTCACACTCACTACAACCACAAACGCTATCTCAAATCAAGGGGTCCTAATGCCCTTGATGGCCTACCAGATTTTCGCTTTGAAACCATCCCAGATGGCCTTTCTCCATTGGATGATGATGCTGATGGTGATGTTAGTCAAGACATATCCTCTCTTTGTCACTCTATCAGAAACAACTTCCTCCAACCCTTTCGTGACCTCCTTGCTAGACTTAACCACTCTGCCATTGCTGGTCTCATCCCCCCAGTTTCCTGCTTAGTCTCTGATTGTTTCATGAGTTTTCCTATACAAGCTGCTGAAGAACTTGCAGTCCCTGTTATTCTCCTTTCCCCGGTCGGTGCAGGTGCATTCTTGTGTTTTATGCACTTTCGTACTCTGGTGGAGACAGGAATCGTACCTCTCAAAGGTACCAGTTTATATGTATAGTTATTATCTGTATGTATTTTGTAGTGCATGTGTTGGTGTATGGATCTGTCAGTCATTGGCTTTTGTGATTATGATATGCAGATGAGAGTCATCTGACAAACGGATTTTTGGACACCACCCAAGTAGAATGTATTCCAGGTTTGCAAAATTTTCGCATGAGGGACATGCCTAGCTTTGTAAAGACAACTGATCCAAATGATTTCATCCTAGAATATTTCATTGAAGTAGCTGGTAGAATTCCTAGAGTGTCAGCTATTGTTTTTAATACTTTTGATGAACTTGAGAGAGATGCCATGAGTGCTCTCTCCTCAATGCTCCCTTCTCTTTATACCATTGGTCCTTTCCCTTCGTTTTTAGATCGAAGTCCGAATAACCACGTGGCTTCTTTAGGTTCCAATCTTTGGAATGAAGATCCCAGATGTCTTGAGTGGCTTGAATCCCAGGAACCTAGATCCGTAGTTTATGTGAACTTTGGCAGCATTACTGTTATGTCTTCAGAGCAAATGTTGGAGTTTGCTTGGGGTTTGGCTAACAGCAAGAAACCATTTTTGTGGATCATTAGGCCTGACCTTGTCATTGGAGGTTCCGTGATTTTGTCAGCCGAGTTTGTGAATGAAACCGGAGACAGAAGCCTAATAGCAAGCTGGTGTCCACAGGAGCAAGTGCTGAACCATTCTTCAATTGGTGGATTCTTGACTCATTGTGGATGGAACTCAACCACTGAAAGTGTTTGTGCTGGAGTGCCAATGTTGTGCTGGCCATTTTTTGCAGATCAGCCAACAAACTGTAGATATATTTGTAATGAGTGGGAAATTGGTATTGAAATTGATAGCAATGTAAAGAGAGACGATGTGGAAAAGCTAGTGAATGATTTGATGGTAGGGGAGAACGGAAAGAAGATGAGAGAAAAGAGCATGGAGTTGAAAAATAAGGCAGAGGAGGTTAACAGGCCCGGTGGTTCTTCATACATAAACTTTGACAAATTCACGAAGGAGGTGTTGTTGAAGCAGACAACACTATAATGCTTTATTGTGATGATTCATTGATCTTCTCCTCTAGAATTTGCTGCAATGCGACAGAAAGAAGTGATTACTAGTTTGTGTTTTATTTGATCTTATTCACATTTCACGCTGCCATTCATTCCTGTCTTAAAGGATGTTTGGGTTCATAGCATCACTGATTCTTTCTATGAATTGATTTAATGAATTTACAAACGAGAGTGATACCTTGACACCTTCGTATAACCCGTTTTTATTAATATAATAATAGAAAAAACTTAATAAAAATAATTTAAAATTATTATTATAATATTATAATCAGTTGTATATTATCGAATGTTTGTTGGAATCTGCGTCAAAATAGTTTTTTCCTTTACAAAAACTTTGTTTTCAATTAATTAATCTTGAGGTTTTATACTAGCTACGAGTTGAATGCATGTCACATCTTGTGGGTAGTAAGTAGAACTTAAATCTATTTAATTATTATAGTTTAATCTTGTAAACTGCACCAGAGACTTAAATATATGTGTACAATATTACAGCGATTGATTGCCTTTATTAAATTTAAACGCCGTATGTTTGGTGAAGATGAGAAAAATGTAAAACTATAATCACTGTCAATGGGGAATTTGGGTGAAAATGTAAGGATTAGATCATCAAAAGTTAGAGGAAGAGACAAAATATTGATATGGATAATTTTGGGTATAGATGCTTCACCTGATTTACCCGAAGTATGATTTGCAACATTTCACTTGGAAATTTCAATATCAAAATATGGTGTTATTAATTTTATTCTTTTCAAATAAGAACCCAATAGTAGTCACCATTTTTCTAATGAACGGGGCCTTGACTCTAATGTGAAGAGAACGTGGGGGTGGAGAAACCAGTCCATGAATTTGGTGATGGGGAAGAGAGAAAAACAGCTCGAGACAAATGATCATGGAGATGACATAACTAGATTCGGTGGTTTTTCAGGTATGAACTAGACTAGATGATTAAGGGGGACCTGCTAAAACTAAACTAAATTGGTTTCTTTTCTTTTCATTTCAGTGTTGTTCAAGGTGAATAAATGTTGTAACTAGATTTGGTTATTTCTTTTTAAATTTTTCCTGTAGTAAACTAAGATGGTAACATTGCATATTTCTCCAGATGAATCAATGTGAAAGCGAAATTTTTATTATGAACTTTGATCTGAAACTGACACACTTCCTGTTATTCCAAGCCACAACCGATGTACAGAATTTTAGCTTGACAATCTATTTGAAGCTTTTCTGTATTATAAGTTGAGCCCCTTGAACTAGCTCCTTTACCACTTCAGCAGCAGGTAAAATTTTCTTGATGAGACTAACACCTTCGCCAGCATACATCACCATGCTCTCGAGATCTCCTGTAGTTGTCATGTTCGGGACAGCACCTGCAAAACGTGGAATATCTTTGTCCTGTTTCATGCCAAAAGTATAGTCAAACACAAACGTTGTAGACATAACAGTTGCATACAAGGATGGTAGCTTTGTTACATACCACGCCGTTGATTGTTGTATGGCCAATGACAGGTTGGTTGGTTTCATTTTCATGTGCAGGAAGCGATCTCCATTCCTTATAGAAAGGTGTCTGCAAGACACGATGAGGGGCACCAGGCCACCTTGCTCTCCCAAATACATCCGTGTATGCAGTCTCATCAAATTCAACTAATTTCCTTTTGTATGTAGGATGAGCATTGCTTTCCTCAGTTGCCACAAACCTGCAAACAAGACTCATGGCTTGAAAACATCTATGAAAAGTTGTAATAGTGTCACAAATAATCTAATTTAAGACCTAGTGCCTAGACAGACTCCTTGAGCACCAAGTGCTAGAGCAGCAACATAACCCCTACTATCCACAATTCCTCCAGCTGCAATAACTGGTATATCTCGGTCACCAACAAGATCGACCACCCTTGGCACCAATGTAATTATACCATCCTGCAATTAGATCAAGGGCAAAGCATTATCTCAGTGGCAGAAATGGAATGCATTATTTTCTTCCTTTTTATGGTTGAAGTCACCGATAAAATTAACAATTATTATACTCTACATATCCATATACATCATGATTATGACAAGAATGCATACCTGACCGATTACATGCCCACCAGCTTCAACTCCTTGTACAATTATCCCATCGACACCTGCTTCAATTGCCTGTTTCGCACCTTCAATGTCCCCGATCTGCAATAGGATTAAAAATTTTAGCTAGACAATAAAATGAAAATAACATCTTGGTATGCAGCAATAACCTACAATTAGCTTTCAACATGCCTCATGAAAGAGACTGCATATCACTTAAGCCAGACAACCTATCTATTACCAACAATCATCTCATTGCTATTTTGAAAGCATCTTAACCCTACTTGGATAAGTTTCTCCATAAAAACTCCCAAAAAAAATGAATTTTTTGAAGAAGCTAAATCTTGAGTACTTGCTGAAAATAAACAGAACCTAAGGCAGGAGAATCATGAAATATAAACTCAGCAATGGTAGACTTTTTATCTGAACTTAGTATGTCAAGGAAAAAGAGTTAGAGCAGGCTTAGAGGTTCACTGACTCGAACCACACTTCGAGTTTAATTATCTTTAATTTGAGAATAAAACGGGCTAAGTCTAAATTGAGCTATGCACCAGACAATACAAGAACGGAATCAATAATTCGCAGAGCAAATAAAAGGAACACCAAAATTAGAATATCATTGTCTTGTGGGATTTGCGTATAGTTAGTGACCTAGTACTATTAATAAATGGGCAGAACACTCACTTGAGGAACAACTTTGACCCCAGCGGAATGAGCCTTATTTACCAATTCTCTTGTACAATCACCCCAGGAAATTTGCAAGACTGCAACTTTTTCTTCCAAAATGACCTTCAAATTCTCCTCAAAAGGAAAGGCTAGAACGACACCAACCCCGAAAGGTTTATCAGTTAAGGTCCTGGTCGTCTTTATGAGTCCCCTCAAGTAATCCGGCGATTCCTGTTACATTCAAATCAACAAATAATATGCTTTCACTTCATAACAATGAACTTGTACAAAAAGATTCTTAATTAGCACTGTATATGATACTCCTAGACAATTAACAATGAATTGAAGAACAGAAGGCAATGAAAGCAACATAGGGAAACGTGAAATTAGCATGAGCATACCAAATCAGGGGCCCTAAGAAGCCCAAGAGCACCAGCATTGGCAACTGCAGCTACAAGGTGAGGACCAGAAATATCAGGGCCTAATGGAGCCTGAACTATACCGTATTCAAAACCCAGAATCCCTCTCCAACCCATCTTGCTCCGCAAGTTGATCAATCTTTATCTTCTTTTACCTGTAAGCAATCACGTCGTGGCAGGACTTTTTTTAAGGTTAAATAACCAGCAGACACAGTTTCCTTTAACCCATTTACACTATTTTTATAATGCTCATAAGAATTGTAGTTGAACTTGAACTCTTTTTAATTTGAAATAACTAGTGACGTAAGCTTAATACTCACTATACAAATCATAAACGACCTTCTCAAACAATTTTAAACTTTCCTCTTTCTTACTTGAACAATTTTCTGTACATACAAGTATCATTTCTCGAAGAATTTCAGAGTAAAATTGAAGTAGGAGCATCAGAATTTCACAGTAACCAGTTCTATTAACCTGTGTAATTGCGTTCATCCAAATGTTCAAAATTTGGAGGAGCTAGATTTATTGTTTTATTGCATTTTAACAAGTTTAAATTTTTAGTTTTTATGTTGTAATATACACGAAATTATATTAAAATTTAATTCATTAAAGCTAATTATACTTTTCAAAAGAGAGACCAGAATGATTCTGACATTTATTTGAAATACTTATCCAAACGGAAAGATAAATCTTACATTAAAGAAGCAAAAGTCAAATGAAACTCAAACATTTACTCTTAAATTTTATTTCAAGATTTAATTTTGTAAATAATAATATTTAAGTGCTACTTTTATATCTCTTTATAATAATTGTTAAAACAATAATACTTTATTCTTTTTAGAAAATATTATATTTCTCTTATATAATCTACATTGGGAAAACAATGATATTTCTATTGGTTTTTCCTTTATATTAATTTGATTTTACAGTTCAATTTTTTTATTAACCTTTGCAAAAAAAAAAAAAAACTCAAGTTTATAGCACGAATTCATGATGATAGATATAATAGATTTGTCAGTATTGGTTACTTTCCGACATTTTGATAGTGTTTTTTTTAACAGTATTCAACTACATTTGTTATAAAATATAAACAGTAAATAACATATTAGTTATAATTTAATATACTTTTAGAACATACTTAACAGACCTCTTCGTAAAATAAAATTAAAATTTAAAAAATATATAATAAATATTAATTTTTATTATCAACTCATAAAAGTTTTTTTTCATTATTGTTTGAAATGACAATTTTTTTTTATTAATGTTGAGTTTAAAAAATGTTTAATTTATCTTCTTAGCTTTCCACAATAGTTACGCTGTAACGTATCTATAGGCTACTTATTTCTGATAATATGTAGTGTATTTAACCATCTCGAAAAAATATATTTAATTTGTATTTATGATGTTTTGAATGGTTAAATTTAAAATATTTGTTTAAAATATAAATTTAAAAATAAGTTTCTAATAGATTCGAAATATATTTTTGAAATGTATTTTTTAATCAATTCTCTAAAATATATTTTTAAAAAATTTAATTTGAAAATATGTTCCAGTCCAGAATTCATTTTGAGAAAAGGAGCTTTTCCCATATTTATATTAGAGATAATAATGTAATTTTAAATAAATATGAGGGTGCGAAAAGAAAATGTGGGGTACAGTACAGAGCGAAACAGCATTTTATTTGATGATTCTAATAATAATTAATTAATTAATTAAGTTTTAAATAGTATTTTTTTCATTTGGGCCACAATTTCTGAATTGAAAAATGGCCCAGCCCACTTCCATGCTCCTTTCTTTCTCACTCTATCACTGCTGAGTCCCAACGTATCCATCTATTAATAATCTTTGAAAAAGTTTCCGTTAAATAATATGATCGAAATACTTACTTATAATTACTTGAATAATTTTTTATCCATTTCTGAAGTTAAATTTTGGTTTTTTTTTCTTATACATTTTTTTCTCTTCTAAATTTAATTATGAATAATAAAAACAAAACAAAATCTAAGTGGATAAAAATACATAAAATGAAAAAAAAAAAAAAGTGGTAAACCAAGAGTAGGACCGGCAAGTGCAACTGTCCAGGTCCACAGTAACATGGGCCCATGGGTCCAAAAATTATTTATATTTATAATTGTAACATATTTTATGTTTTTTTTTCTCTTCTTTATTAATTTTTTTCGTACTCTTTTAATTACACATTTTTTATTTTCTCTTTTGAAACTCTAAAATTAATTATTTTTAATAATTTATAATTTCATAAATAAATATTTATATTTTAAAATTAATATATACATTAACTGCAATAAATTAAGATACAAAATATAATAAAAATACAAACACACGGCATCTGCCTCTGTATTTCTGTTAGTTTTGTAAATAAGTTAAATTTTTTGTTTTATTTTATGTAATTTTTGTATTAAAAAGGTATTATTACATTAATATTAAATATTAATGTTATGTTACATGTTCATATAAGTGTGAATTACATGAACTTTTAATTTTCGCTAATATATGAAGTATTCATTCACTACTGCAGAAAAGGTTTTTTACGTCGGTTAAAATGGGTCATCTACGTCGATTAAAGCAGCGACATAGATACAGGGATCATAGAAAATAAGTCTTTCTACGTCGGTTAGTCAGGAAACCGACGTGGAAAAGCTTACTTTCTATGTCGGTTAACACTGATAACCGACATAAAAAATCTTACTTTCTAACTTTCTATGACCCCAGTATTTATATCGATTAACAGTAACCGTGATTGTATGTGATATCAATGTCGGTTATGCTTATAACCGACATAAAATGTTAAACTTTCTACGTCGGTTATGTCATTAACCGACGTAGAAAGTACTTTCTACGTCGGTTAATGACATAACCGACGTAGAAAGTGTTTTTTTTTTACAGAGCCTGCATTTTCTTCACAGATCCTACCTTTCTTCGAGTAGACCTGCCTATTCATCATAGTTTCAGACAAATATTCACAGTTCCAAACACTTGTACAGACAGATATGCACAATTCATATATAGTTTCAGGCAGATATATATGTACATATATGAAACATATTGAAATCAATATATATGTACCTAGATCAGTTCCAGATAGTTCATTTACTTAAACGAATGTAAATTTGCTAACTTAAATCAATTCAATCAAAATTGTTACAAGTCAAATTTGCTATGAAGATTGAATACTTAAAAGGAAAGAAGTTCACTGCTCTCTAATATCGTCTAACACTTCAATCTTCAATGGAGATAAGTCTGTAAATTCCTACATATTGAAACATTTCAGATTTAGAAACCATTTACATAATTGGCATATTTGACTTAATTATAGTATATTTACCTCCCTCCATGAGTCAATAATATTTTTGGCTACGATGGTGTGCATGTGCTTCATCACATAATACCCGCACTCATGGCTTCCCGGTTGGTGTGGACACTACAAGTTAAATACATGTCAGATTAACTTTAAATGAAAAATTGAACAACAGTAAGAGGAATGTTTGGTCACCTTTGGTGCAATATACGTCAACTTCTTTCTAGCATGAGATGTAAGGCCTTGCAACCTTAGGTGAGCTTCCAAAGCTCTACAAAAGGACAAATAATTTTGGTGTAAGTGCACATATGATACAACAATTAAAAAAACCAAACTTACGCGTCTATGTGCTTTCTAATATCCAACTCATTTGGTTTCTTGTGTAATGAACACAAGAGAATCACAACAAATTGCCGAGGAACAATGATTATGAGCTGCCAATGACCCCTGCACGTTGAAATAATATTAGTAAAATTTCAGTTTTACATAAATGTGCATTAATTTATAAGATGTATGTATACTTACTGATGCAAGTAAGGTGCTAAGTAGACTTCTTTGCCCCCATTTTGAAATGTCTCTATTAAGTACGTTTGTCCCCATTTTGAAATGTCTCTATTAAGTACATTTGCACCTCTTCAGCTTTATTTCCAACGGACTGAATGGCAACAGGGTCAACAAATCCATAGATAAAGACAATCTTCCTCTCAACACACAAACGATGTAAATACCTTCAACATTGAAAATAAATAAAGTTATAAAATAATGTACCAGTGAGAATATCAAAAATATGTCACGTGATTGGATATTTTAATCTTTCAATAGGAAGTTCTGTCCTACAATGGATCATTTCATGACTGACTCCAATCAAGGCTAACCGTATTGTTTCACATTAGGGTGAGCATAAGCTATGATAGTTTTCACTTAAAATGAAATAACTACATTATAATACAAATCTAATTTTCAAAATCAAAATCACGAAAGAATGTCTACAGAAACACATTCAAATGACTAAACTACTTACAATACGTCTCTAAATTAGTTAAAGGCACCCGTGATCTTTCCATCTCTTGACAACATTATTACATACCCATATTCAAAACTATAAACCTACAATGGCTAAAGCAAGCACGAAAACTTACCTCTTGAAGACCTACAGAGGTGGCAGGTGGCGTGACGTGCAGAGCTGGGTGGGGAGAAACGTACACAGGCGACGGGCACTAACGACAGTAGCAGCAGGCGGCACGACGTACAGAGTTGGCAGGTGGCGTGACGAGCAGAGCTGGGTGGGGAGAAACGTACACAGGCGATGACGTTCGTAGAAGAGACAGAGAGAACGGGGAGCTCTGCTATGGGTGAAGTGATGAAATGAAGTGTCGCGACAGACGTAAAACAGAAGATACTATGTCGATTGCCCTAACACCCGTCATCAAATACACTTTCTATGTCGGTTAAAATTTACCCGACATAGAAAGTGAATTTTCCACTTACCATGTCGGTTACCTATTACCCGACATAAAAAGTTTATGATTTTATTACAAAATTGCCACCGCACTACATACTATGACGGGTGGACTACAACCGTAATAAAAACTCGTCATATAATGCTATTTTTCCACGAGTGATTGATGTATGATGATAGATTTAAAGTGTTTAATCTTTATAACAAAGAAACACAACTAAAAATTAATATATCAATAGTATTGGTTTAATATATAAAAAATTACAATTTCTAATAAAAATACTAGACTAAATATATTTATATAATAGATATTTAATATATATATATATATATATATATATA